GGGAATTGCTGGCTAATTTGCCAGACGCAGTCGATAAACTGTAGAAAAACAGGTGAACGATCAGCATCGCTGTGATGCTCATCCCCATGACCGATTCTCTGCTCAAACTTGTGGCCAAAGCTGAGCCACTCCTTCTCGATGAGCACCTCAAATCCTCTGATTGTCCTGTAGTAAGGATCGAGCATGAGCATCGCCAAAGCAGTGAGCTGAACAGTCCTGTCCCATCCATCAGAGCAGTGAACTAACACCGAGGTCTTGTGATTCTCCACTTTATCCACTATCCTCACAGCTCCAGCAAGAATGCATTTAATATGTTTCAACCAGACTGTAGACTCGAGTCCTGACAGCCATCTGGCTTCGTTGATCGTTGGAAAACAGAGTTCCTTCAATTTTCGAAGACTCTCCCTCATCACGTGTATATTAGGAATATCCAGAAAAACTAATTCAGCATTTTGATAAGTATCTTCATCCTCGTAGCCACCGCCCTTGGCTATGTTGGCGATAGCGTTGGTCATTGGTCTCGCATCCATAATAAATAATTTATGACTCTGAGCATTGGCATCCATTATCAGCTGAACATATCGTTCATCCTCACGACTACGTTTGCCACTTACACCAACCAGGGGCTGAGCACAACGTGTTATTGTTGCTTGACTCTCAGGATGAATCCAGGATAGAACTGGTAGTCTTCCACGACTCCTGAATAACGCAGAGGCCTGAAGATCCTCATCTGTTGCTGCTGCTGGCACTGCCCAAATCGCTGGGTAACTATCACAGAGACTGTAGGTATCATTGATTTTTGATATTTTCCACATGTCATTGTTGACTCCCATGCGTTTGAGTTCAGCGATGGGTTCATAGACAGTCCAGCCATTTTCTGGAAATGTTTCAAAGTACTCAAAGGCAAAAAGTGGGAGTTTGTGGGCGAGTGGGAAGGAATACTGCTGCAATTTCTCGAAGACATCTCGCCTGGAGTGATTCTCCTGCTTGTGAGCGAACCGAAGATTTCTCATGTCCTTGCAGAATACCTCGATACCATAGGAGTTCTCCCCTCGGCTCGTGGCACCACCCACTTTTTCAATTCTACTGACAACACCCAGAGGCACTTCAATTACGTACGAAGTCTCTCTGTCGATGCTGCGAAAGTGGAGTTTAAAATTAGTAACACTGAGAACACCACGTGCTGGTCCAGAGTATGGGCATAAGTAGGTGACATCACGAGCTACTCCCTGTCGACGCTCGCCATTGAGAAGAGGAGGACCTGCGTCGGTTCCTGATAAATTCTAAAAAGAAGAAAATCAAAATTATAGAATCCAAGAAAAAAAATCCAGATACTCTACATGAGTCCATTCGTTCTCTACCTTTTCTTGAAGGGATTTTAATTAATCAAGGGACTAATTTCATTGCAAAAAATATATGACACAAGAATAAATCAAGGGATATGTTACCGGACTGATTTTTCCATTAAAATCTTTCTTTGCTTCGAGGGCAGATACGATATTATTGTCGGTGGACGTTGAGCTGGTGGAGAAGCTTTTGGAGTTTGAAGCTTTCTCCCAGCACTCCTGAGTACGCATGAGTGGAATAAAAAATAT